TCATTCATTTTTTTTAAATTTATTTTTTTTTAAATTTTTTTTTTTTTAATTTTTTTTTTTAAATTTTTCTTTTTTGTGGAGAGTACAGGCTATTTTACTGTCGGGCTTGCTCGACTGTAGCGTTCTATCTTGTTTCCTCTGTGTCTATGAAGTACGCTAATATTATCCTGGCTGGAGACCTCAACAGCAATATGCTCACGGAACGACAGCTAAAGGATGATATGGTATCCCTTGGGATGAAACTTGTAAACACCATTGAACCCACACACTTCTCTCATACCTGTGATACGCTTCTTGACGTATTTTTCGTTAATGACACCAACAAAACTCTCCTTTTTGACCAGCTCTTAGTATCAGCCTTTTCCAAGCACGACATGATTTTCTTGACGTACGATATCTTTTTAGAACAAAGTGACCATTTAATTACGTATAGGGACTTCAGGAACATTGACCATAGGTTACTGCTTGACTATTGCGATAACCTAAACTTTGATGATATATACACTAAGCCCACTGTAGATGAGCAGCTTGAACTGTTCAATGAGAACGTTCAGCATCTAGTCAACACTTTTGTGCCTCTGCGACAGAAAACTATCAAGCTTCTTAAACATGCATGGTTTAACAGTGATATCGATAGTGCAATTAAAAGTAGAGACGATGCGTATAAGAAGTGGAAACGGTATAAGACGTCGGCCCACTTTTTGCAATTTAAACAAGAGAGAACGCTACGGTGCGACGGAAAGCTGTGACAGCCCTCAAAAACGTGGCTTTTTCTTGCAAGTTATCAAAGCTAACAATTAAGTCCGGATCGACCGCTGATACTTGCATTTTGCTCACACGGAAAATTTCCCGAATCCTCGGCGGTGGTGTAACATTGATGGCGAAGCAGAGGGCATTGTAAAGTGCTCTTGCGTTTTCGCCTTCAGCGTGGGGCACTCCATGTATCCGCAGGTCACATGCAATTTTTTCATTGTGCTGAGAAGCAAGTTTCGCCTCCAGCCCACCGACCCGCTCTCGCAATGCCGCCAGCTCCCCGACCTCGCGCTCCAGTGAGTTCACCCTCTCATGTAGCTGCTTCACCTCCGCTGCCATATGATCAAGGCGCTCCAGCAACCCGGAGAGGCATGCTCGGCATCTCCCATTTTAGTGGAGATGAGATTGGCTTGCTCTTCAAAGCGCAAATTTAGCATTACCATGATCTTCGAAGATAGCGCATCAGACAGACGGCCCTCCTTGAGGTCAGTATTTGTATTTTCGCGAGCGCGTTTGCTGGGTTGCGGTGCCATGATGTGCAGTGTATGTTGAGTTATTTTTCTTTGGTACGTTGAACGTTGATGCCAATTATGTTTCATTTGAGATTTGAGATTGTGAGTGAAACTTTATTGGTGTAATCTTGAAAACGCTCTTATTTATTATTTGAGTGGTTTTATCTTGTGAGTCAGTTTTGTTGTATTCACTTTAAGGTAAAAATGTAATTTAAAGTTGCTTGAACAATTACACTGAACAGATATTGCCTTAATATTTAAAGTGACAATGTTTCGAGGATGAGTATGAACTAACAGCATGCTATTCAGGAGTTTTTATAGCCTGTACCCAAAGGGTGAAAGGCTGTACTAGCTAGCTGGCTTTGTGCGCATGTATGTAACACACAGAAGGAGGCGTGGCAGACCCCACAAAGTATATATATTCTTGATCAGGATGAGAAGCCGAGTGGATATAGCCTTGTCCGTCCGTCCGTCTGTCCGTCTGTCTGTCCGTATGAACGCAAGGATCTCAGAAAGTATAAGAGCTAGAATAACCAAACTTGGTTTCCGTATTCTCCTAAGACCGAGAAAGTACGAGTTTGAGTTTTTTTTCGATGCACCCCCCACTCCACCGCAATTCGTGTTTTTTCTTATAACTTCCGTAATTCTCGGAATTTTGAAATCAATTTTGGTAGGTACATCCAGTTAGTACTAATGTGTCCGTGATAGGTCAATTCAGAAGAAGTTATAGCCATAAGTAAAATCGCTGCTCATGCGCTGCCTGCAGCTCTGTCGCCATGTTCACCGTCGATAGTGTAGCTTCCCAACAATGAAAGAATCCATTAAATCGGTCCAGTAGATTCGGAGCCTTTTCAAATCAAACAAACAAACAAACATACAAACTAAAATTAATAATATGAACCCATAATAATATTGACCCATGTAACGCCACAGATTCATAGAATCAGTACAAGTTGAAGTCTGATGCGAGCCCTGGAACTCTGCATCTTTCTTCACGTCGAATCCGCCATTATCTCGGCGCTTTTTGTCAAAATTCTTCTTGTAGCAATTTTGAGCTTTCTCACTTGGTTCGTTCATCCTGCAATCCTGAACGCCTTACAGTAACTCGTCCTGGAGAATTTCCAGATCAGATTGCGCATTTTGACGCCAAACATAATTTCAAACGGAGTGTACTTCGTCGATGAATAGACATGTGCATTAATCGCTCGTTGCACCTGTGATGTATATTTATACCACTTTGACGGCTCGGGTGCAGACAACCGAGTTATTCTGTCTCATCAGCCTTTGTTTATTAATTTTAGTAATATATAATTAATTTATGCAACAACACTACTGGGAGTTGCAAATTCCAAAAGGTGCCCTATCTATATAAACAGTTTGTCCTGACTGACTGACTGACTGATTGGTGATCAACGCACAGCCCAAACGGTAAAAGCTAGGAAGCTGAAATTTGGACTCAAGTATCCTTTCATAGTGTAGGCTGGCGATAAGATTATAAGCGATAAGATTTTGGAAAATTCGAGCTCCAAAAGGTGGAAAACAAGCTCCAACGTTTGTATGAAAAATCCACAATCGGATTTTTGAAATTGGTCTTGGAGCTTGAATTATTGGGGTTTTTATATTTCACTTTTTTTCAAATGAATAGTTTGTGTTATTAATGTTGTCCGATCGATTTCAAATTTGGTATATATATAACTATATCTACAAATTGGCATTCAACGATTTTCGAAACATAGAAATATGTTTTTACTTGCCAGGTGCACCAACAATAAATAACAAAGAGCGCAAAATATCAAACAGTTGGGGACATCACATACACACACTTACACAGTGACACACTCACAGACACAAACAGAGATGGGCAAAGTCGGTGCTCTTTATTGTTCGTGGCACATCGCTGCACTCCATGGACACGAGTGCCGTATTTCATATTCCAATTTCGTGAGTTTTCGTGTTGACACAATAAAGCACGAAAAGACTCGAACGTGAAAATGCGATAGAAACAAAAACAATACGAGCAAAATATATGTAATTTAAAGTTAGGAAATACTCTATATTTATTCCAGTTGTTTGCACCAAGTCTATCTTAAAACATTGTTATTGTTGAAAAAAGCAAGGCATTTGGAGCGCATAACCAAAAAATAACAATGTTAATTTGCATAAAATAAATTAATATTTTACGAAAAAGTAATATCATGTACATATATCGGTTCTTAGAAATTGGACTACCATATACACATGTATACAAGCATAAATTAAATACAAATCGACATTCTCCTAATTATTCGATTTACAATGAAAAATTTGTGTATCCATTCACCGTGCATACGGATTCGTTATGCCCATCGACACATGCCCATCTCTAGGACCTCTGCTGATCGCATATTTATAAGCGATTTACCGTTTGTCTTAGATGGTTGCGTCAGCAACGCTACAAATGTATTCTGAAGAATTCTGAGATACATTAAGCGTTAAGCTTGTTCCGTTAAGCTGGTTCCTATCACACTATTTACATAAATATACATATGCATGTATGCACATATAACCACACATACTTGTAGTATTTATTGTACTTTATGGCCTAGCTCTCGAATCGTACCAAAGTAATTTGCTATTTGGGAAATGAACTCTTTAGAAACTTTAGAGAGTGTCGGAAGAGAAATATTATATAGTAAATAAACGTATAACTGTAAGCACAAATACTGAGCCCGCAAAGACGGGCAAGACCTGCTAGTAAATTATAAGATGTTATTATTTAAATATTCTGTTTATTGCATTTAAACTTCGTTGTATCGATATCGATAGAATCGGTGGATTCAACTACCGAAAGTTTTACTCTAGCAAATTGAGATGGGCATTGTCAGTGCGTTTTGATCGTGGCGCATCGCTGCACGGCATTGACACGAGTGCCGTGTTTCAAATTCCGAGTTCGTGACTGATCGTATTGACTCAAAAAGTCACGAAAAACACAAACGTGAATTTAAGATTAGGGTATACTCCTATAATTATTCTTCTTTTTTGCACATAGTCTATCTTAAAACGTTGTATTATCTCTATTTATATCAAACAGTTTATCCTGACTGATTGGGGATCAACGCACAGCCCAAACGGTAAAAGCTAGGAAGCTAAAATTTGGACTTAAGAATCCTTTCATAGTATCCATCATAGTGTTGGTGCGCACTAAGAAATGCTTTTGGAAAATTCGAGCTCCAAAGGGGGGAAGCAGGCTTAAAACAAGAAAGGAATGCTAAAGTCGAGCGAGCTCAACTCTTAAATACGTGTACCTTCCACGGAAAAAGGAAAAAAAGAAAAAAAAAATTGTTTCATTGATTTAAAAAAATTATATTAAGTAAATTATTTAATTAAATTTAAGACATGTTCATATACAATTTCAACAGCATACATTTACATCAAAATCGTGTCTTTGCGTGTTTATATGCGTGTATGTATGCAGCGCAAATTTGAACCAAAGCAGGAACAACAACAACAAGCAACAGGGTAGCGCTGCGGGCAGAGCTACAAGCAGAGCAAGGGCAACGATTTTATTTATGGCTATAACTTTCTTTAGAATTGACCTACCATGATGAAACTTGGCACACGGACACATAAGCACTTACTGGATGTAGCTACCAAAATTGATTTCAAAAGTCCAAGAATTACGGAAGTTATAAAAAAAAACACGAATTGCGGATGAGTGGGGGGGGGGGGGGCGGATAAAAATAAACTTGACCTGCCTAGGACATAGGGGAGCCTCGATACCAAATAAGAAATAAAGCTTGGAAGTCGCTGGGTGGTTGCGTTTCAATATTTATGTGTGCCTTATAATTTTATTGCGCCTCGTGGCTTATGAATAATTTTACACTTCGTGTTGCTTAACTTAAGATTTCTACAAAATGCATCTGTCCGCCTTCGTGGCTGTACTTCGACTAACTTAACTCAATTTTACCATATACCATACCCAAATGCCCAGCCGTTGGATCGTCGTGGCACTCCTTCAGCACAGATGTACTGCCGCAGCTGTTTTAGGTTGGTTGGGGGCTTCAATTCATGTATGGCTGCCCCCTTTTTTGGATCCGTCTGTATCCCGTCTTCTGTCACCAGGTGCCCCAGGTAGCGTATAGACCTGCGGAAAAACTCACACTTATCTTGATTTACCCACCCATAGGTGTTCTTCGATTGTCTTCGCAACCACAACTATGTCGTCCAGATAGGCAAACGCGTGTGGCCCATGACGCTATCTAACGCCCGCTGGAAGGTGACTGAGGCCGAGTGCAAGCCAAACGGCGTCACCCACCATTAGAAAAGGCCCTGTCCAGGCACTGTGAATGCGGTATACTTACGACTGGCTCGCTCCATGGGTATCTGCCAGTATCCGTTTCGCAAGTCGATGCTGCTGATGTATTTCACCTGTCGTAGCTGTTCGAGAATATGTTGGATTCTCGAAATGGAGTATGCGTCTGGCTCCGAGCGCTCATTCAGCTGGCGGTAGTCGATGCACATCCGCCACGCCCCATTCTTCTTACGTACCAGCACTATGGGTGTGCTGTACGCGCTATCGGACCGCTCGGACCATAGCTAGTAATTCGTCTACCAATGGGCGCTTCCGATGGGGAGGTGGCACAATGGGGAGTACATTCCGATGGCAGCGGGGACCCACGAGCATTTCTGCACAGGCTGAAAGAGAAAGCAGAAGTGAGTGGAGAGTCGGTAGATAGTTTGGTGCCGATGTTACCCAATATCCTGCAGGGCGCGGCACTGACGTGGGACCGCACAAGGCGAAACTCGACCCAGCCGTGGGCCGATTTCCGCGCGGAACTACTGAAAGCGTATCCGGCGGCCCCTCACGTCGTCCTATGTGCAGGCGAAGCTGGAACTGATGCTCGATGTCGACATGCCTGGGGAGGATCAGCTGAGGCTCATCCATAGCAATAGCCGGCCGGCGATCAACATCAGGATACGGCATCAAGATGTCCATACTGTGGCAGAATTCAAACGCCAGGTAGCAGAATTGGAGGAGTTGGGCTTGGTTCCGGCCTGTTCCGCTGGGGCAAGGCCACCCCAGCCAGCGTTCATGAATCCACCGGGGCTTACGATCCGACATCCAGGGCCAGCAGACACGCAGCCCATATCTGGCGGTGAGTCAAACAGGCAAAACTTTGTCCCTTTGCAGACTGCACATGCACCAACAACAGTAACCACTACTGTACTTAAACATGTCTTTTATATATGTATTGTTGGAGCACCCTACTTAGCTTCTAACCCTTTCCTTTGCACTCTCTATTGCGCCCTTTACTGCACTCTCTGTGGCGCTCTCTTTGTACGTTTTTCTTGTGCTGGTCCGCTGACTTGTAGCGGCAGCAGGCAAAATCACTCGCTAATTAATATCGGCACTGTGAACCTCGCTAAGTAATACTCGCACGTTCAACATCGTCTGTACACTTTCCAAGCCATTAAAGCCATATTAATAATTAAAAGAATACCGCGTCTCATTTAATAACTAGTTAAATATTGTTTGTTGCAATCGCTAAAAAGCTAGCGATTTTTCATTGGCGCCCGAGCAGGGACCTCGGTTTTCTTAAGATTATTTTCTCGTTTGTTTGCGGTCTTTGTGGCTTGGTTTTTGTGCGCGGTCGTGTGATTAGTACCTCGTTTGATTTGGATCTGGTGTCGTTTGGATACCATATACATACATTTATTTGGATTTGGAGCTTGGTGCCTTTCTGGTAACCATCAACTACAACTGCTCGTTTGGACTGTGGAGCTGCTGTCTGCCCTACTTGTGGTACTGTCGTTTGGCTTGGCTAATGGTGATCGGGTGATCGTCGCTCGGAATCCAGGGAAGTTTCGGTGGAATCTTTTGAGAGCTTACAGGTATTCTGTGTCAACAATTGAGCATAAAGCTCTAAGAAGTTTAATTGCTGCAAATTTTTGCAAGCGAAAGTTGTCTAAAACCTAGTCACATACGTACATACATACATATGTATATATAGTACGTGTATGCTTATGCGGGCTCAATTTTTGGCACTTCAACTATTCTGTTGAACAACTTTACATGCACAAATACATATCATACATATGCATGTACATACATACTTGCACAATTTAGTAAAAGAATTTTGTCGCTCTCTCTTTTGTGCGCGCCTTTTTTCGGCTACACTTGTCGCTGGGCCAACGAACTTCCCCCCGCTACCCGTTTTGATTAGCGTTGCCTACAAGCGTGCTTGCGGTAATCGACGCCTATTTTCTGAGTACAGCTGAGATTGCTGGCAGATTTCGTTGTTGTTTGTGCGGTCGCTTGGACTGCTACTTTGCTTGCGTGCATACTGTATTGAGTGTGTGTGTACGTAATCTGCGTGCATTTCAGTTTGTCTCTTGCTGTTTTAGCGCGTTGTTATTTGCGAGGGCTGTTAGGAAAGTTCGGCTTTCATTCTCTTTGATTTGCAACTTGCTTAGAGTTTATTTTGGTTATACTCTACCATGTCGGAATCTGAGAAGCAAGTACAATGCTTGCAGAAATTTGATAAGGTTAGCGCTGATATTTCTCGTATGAGAACAGCATTTCAGTTAAAGACAATTTCGTTTGAACAAACGGAACTCGAGTGTCGTCTCGAGCTGTTAGAAGATTACATAAAGAAAGCTATGGCGTTTCAGGCAGATTTGGATAGTCTCAATCCAAGTAACGATAGTAGAGGGCCACTTGAGGATTTGTGCATTTCAACTAAGGCGTTGTATGTGAAGGCAACGAAACAAAAAGTTGAAAGTGAGGCTTCTCATGACTGTTCTATGATGGTAAACGGTCACAGTTACCCAAAATGCGGCTGCCTACATTCAGTGGAAAGCATGCCGAATTTAAGAATTTTATGTGCTTATTTCATGACGATCCTTCGTTGACCAACGTCGAGAAGTTTAACCATTTGGTATCGTGCTTGTCAGGTGAGGCTCTAGGAGTTGTGAAACCGTTTCAGTTAACGGACTGCAATTACTCGAAAGCCATTGCTACCCTCAAGTCTGTGTACGACAACAAATGTTTGATATTTTTCGACACTATCTCGCAATTGTTTGACATCCCAAGTATGACCAAACCTAATGCGTCTAGTTTGCGGTCCATCATTGACACTGTTTCTGCCATTTATGCGTCTTTAACTTCGTTGGGAAGTGAAAAGGACATTTCGAATGCAATGATCATACATATGGTTATGGCCAAAGTTGATCATGTAACCAAATCTCGTTTTGAGGAACAGCTCGATTATGACAAGTTGCCTTCTTGGGATGACTGCGCTAAGCAGTTAAACAGGCGTTACCAATATTTAGCGGCTGAAGAGACAACTCGGGTTCCAAATAAACCGCGAGTAGAACCTGCAAGAAATAGTAAAGCTTCGTTTTCTTGCACAAAGGGTCCTTCAAAGCCTTCAAAACCGATTTCGAAGTGCACATATTGTAGTTTTGCGGATCACATTATTTATTCTTGCCCTTACTTAGGTTCTATACCTGTTATGCAGCGATTTGAGTTTGCTAAGACTCAAAAAATGTGCCTCAATTGTTTGAATGTGGGTCATATAGTTTCCAGCTGCGAAGCTTCCAAGTGTCGGGTGTGTTCAAAACCACACCATTCGTTGTTGCACAGATACTCTGTAGCTGTGCCAAATTCACCCACTCCACACGCAGTCGCACCTCCAGAAGCGTACTTAGGTCACGTTTACCACAGCAGTGGTAAAAATTAAAGATAGATTCGGCCATTACCATCCTGCTCGTGTGTTACTTGATGGCGGCTCACAGTTGAACCTCATGACTGAGAACTTTGCACAGCGCCTTCGATTAAAGCGTAAAGACACAGCTGTGAGTATTGTAATGGCAGGTGGAACCACTACTGGTAGTAGGCACAAGGTGTGCGCTGATATTCAATCTCGTTTGATTTCTCACAGCTTTGGCACTGATTTTTGGGTTCTTAAATCCATATCTACTTGTCAGCCTGGTAACTTTGTGCCCACATCGAATTGGAAAATACCCGCAAACCTTGAGTTGGCTGACCCAGAATTCTATAAGCCAGCCAAGGTTGATATTCTCCTAGGCGTTGAACTTTTTTACAAGTTATTATGCGTTGGGCAAATCGAGCTCAATTCTTGTCTTCCATTGTTGCAGAAGACATTGCTGGGATGGGTTGTTGCTGGTAGATATACAGGGCAAATACCTCCTCAACAATTCAGCGTTAACGTTGCCGCTCAAGTTAGTGATTGTTCTCTCGACACATTAGTTCAACGCTTTTGGGAACTCGATCGGAGCCCAAATGAGTCGAAGGCTGTGCGCCAGACAGCTGAACAAGGCAAAACATACGCGGTTTGAAAAAGCTCTTTCTGTGACACCGGGAAACAGTTTTAAGGCGAAACTTGGGCGGAAGGGATTTCTGTGTCACCTCTGTATATTTATAGCTATACTAATCTTGCTCCTTTCTGAAATCCTTGCTTTCATACAGACAGACGAGCGGACATGGCTATATCGATTCGACTTGTCATCCTGACTTGTGATCCTGTTACATACATTCGCACAAATTTAGTATTCCATTTCATCCTTTGGGTACAGGGTATAAAATTGCAGCTGAAAATGCCGATGAACGCGAATAAAGTTTGCAAGATCTTTGCAGGGTCATAGAAACGGAACAAGAATGGGAGTTGCGGCTAGGGCAAAAGCGCGAAAGGGCATCCACATCTAGAGCTATCAAAACGAAACAAGAACGAAAGTTGAGGCTTCGGCAAATGCGCGAAAGGGCATCACATCTGATCCAAGCTTTTGTTTTAAAATTGGTAAAACTTTTACCGAAACAAGTTTATGGCGATGATTACCTATCCCGTAGCAGAGTGCACGAGTGGTTTCAACGTTTTCAAAGTGGGCGTGAGGACATAAATGACGATCAACATGTGGGCCAATCAAACCGATCACCGAAAATTCCATCGAAACTGCGTGAATTCATAAAAAATCAGCCGAAATCATCATTGAAATTGATGGAAATGGAATTGAACATCTCCAAAACATCGATTTATTGCATTTTGACCGAACATTTGGGCTTACGAAAGGTGCGTGCACGGTTTGTTCCGCACAAATTGACTGACGACCATAAATTGCTCAGAATCTAACATTCGATCGACGCTTGTGACCGATTATTTGACAAAAAATCACATTTTAACCATTAACCACTCGCCGTGTTCACCTGATATGGCACCGTTTTTTTCTTTTCGGAACAATGCATTTGCCCATGAAAGGAAAGCGTTATGCAGATGTAGAGGCTTGCACCGGCATACTGGCGGCCATACCGGCCAACGAGCTAAAACACTCGTTCGACATGCTTTTGGATCGTGCAAAAAGCTGTATTGAAGCAGAAGGAGACTATTTTGAATAAAATAAATTGATTTTGCCGAATAAACCATTTGTTCTGTTTTTTTTAAGTCCTGTTTACTTTGGAATACACCTTGTATTTTAATTTTTCTCAACAAATGTCTTAATCCTTCCCTTTTAAAAGAGTGGAGGGAATGCGGGGAGAATCCGAAGCAGCACCAAATGGTAAGTTAAATTTGTGAGTGTTGTACATAGTTGCATAATAGTATAGTATAAATGTAATTAAATTTAAATGATACAATGTGCAATATATAATTACTATGTGATAAGCAGTACAAGTTAGATTTGTGAATGTTGTGCAATAGTAGTATAATATAGTATATATATAATTAAATTTATGTGATATGATGTGCAATATATAAGTATAATGTGATAAGCAAATGCAAGTTAAATATGTGAATGTTGCACAAATAGTAGTATAAAAATATAGTATATAAAAAATAATTAAATTTATGTGACATGATGTGTGTTGATGTGGCAGCACTCTGCCAGTGTTGACATGGCAACGCTTGCCAGCAACATCTGCTGGCAGAGCGCTGCTAGCGTCGGCGGCCTCTCCCTCTTTCATATGGGCAGCTAAGCGCCACTGCAATTAGGTTAAGTTTAGTTTCAAATTGTCATACAAGTGAAGAATATATATATACGTGCGAGTCACGTCACAGTGAAAAGGAAAGCAGACGCAATTTTACTTCCCTTGCGGTTTTTGGACTTTCACCCCCAACGCCCCACGCCAACATTGTCCTTCGAGCCGGATCTTCAGGTGCACCTCCTGTTCCTTCCAAGTCCTGTGCAGCCTGCGACCGTTCGCCCCAGCTTGTTCCTGGCGTTGGATACCTGCGAGGAGAAGCAGCTAAGTAAACTATTTACTTGTGGCGCGATACTTACGCCATATTTGTTCACTGTCGGTCTGTCCGCCGACCCCCACAACGGAACAGCATCCCGCTGTCCGTCCCTTATCCAAGGGCCTCATCTCGTCTAACGCCGGTACCGCGCTGGTCCGCTTAAACGAAAAGTGAAGTGCAACAATTAGCAGGTTCAACCCGAACTCCGTCCGTTTGCGTTTGCATCTTGGCATACTTGCGCATATTCTTTCCCATATGCAACAAGTGTCCAGTGGGAAACACACCTGTTTTACCTGCACGTTCCTAATGCACAATTCACACCACATAGTTTTTGCATGGTCCGTCACACAATAGACATATTTCCACATATGCTTATATACATGCACTTTATATACATGCACATTATACAATAGACATATTTCCACATATGCTTATATACATGCACTTTATATACATGCACATTACACAATAGACATATTTCCACATATGCTTATATACATGCACTTTATATACATCCGCGGCGTATAAATCTATACACGTTTTCATATATCGGCAGCGGAAACAAACGTACGTCCGCATACGCTGATATATATATATATATATATATATCTATATACATTTGAGTCCGCTATAAACACATCTGCATGCACTAAATATACGAACCATAATATTTACACACAAACATATTTACACTCATATATTTAATTACTAACACAATCCTATACACTCACCGGTCGGTCCACGACTCCCCGCTACGTGCCAACACTCCAGTTGGTATTCCTTATAGCCCGCGCGATATCCAGCGTCGGCGCTTGTGCGAAAATTAAAACATATTGCGTTTTTGCACTTAAAATTTTTACTTACCCATTAAAGGTAAACAAGTGATGACACTTGTGTAAAATCAGTTATCGGAAGCTACAATCATCGAAATTGGAGTGTGACCAGAAACTTGGTCACGGTAACGAGTCACAGCTGAATTATTAATTTCGATAATCACTGTGACCAATTGCTACTGGCGGTCCGCTATCCCGGAAATCACTTAATAAAATTAAATACAGTTACTTTATCCCAAAAAGTAACTTAATAAATTAAATAAAATTTATTATTGTTTTTTTTTATGTTTCTTTGGGATTCCTTGTCGCATACCAGCGCCTCCAGCTGGTCTTTCTCCATCAACGTAATTGCGTGTAGTTTTTGCTGCGATTTTTCAGCAACTTTAATAAAATCAAATAAAAATAAATCCAAATTTTTTCGGTGAATACACATATCCTTGTGGACTTTTTCCCGAACCTTTCCAGCACCTCTACCTGGCAGTTATTTTATCCAGCTTTAATTTATATTTATTTTTGGGTTTTTTTTCTGTTGGATTTTTTGGATTCTTCGTCGCATATCACCGCCTGCAGCTGTCCAGCAACTTAATTGCACATATATTTATTGCTGCCGCGGTGTTTAATTAATTTTAATAAAACGAACATAGAGAAAAAAAACGAAATCCATTTTCTCTTTTATTTCGGTGGCTACACATATTCTTGTGACCTTGTGTCCGACAAGTTTTCAGCACCTCCAGCTAGCATAAGCCAGTTAATAAAACTTGTCGCAGAATTTTGCGCGCCATAAGCGGTCAGCAACGCCGTTTTCCGGCGGACTCATACCCGACCTGCCTCAAGTGGGCCCACTCTAGCCGGCTCGTGTGAGAGCCTAGTATGCCCAGTGAAGGCGAGGAGGACACGAAGAAGCATTTAGTCCATCCGTCTACCTCGGTCGCCCCATCCACTTCTCAGCGTTTGGCCGTTCCTTCTTCTGACGCGCAATCCAGTTCGGTTCCGACACCGTCCCTTGTAAAAACAGTTTCGCCGTCGACGTCAAAAGGGGTTATTCCGAAACCACCGTCGTCGTTGAAGAAGGTTTCGCCCTCTACCTCCAAGAGGAGCAGTCCGGGTTCACGCTTGTTGTTGAAAAAACCTTCGCCTTCCACCGCCAAGAAGGGCAGCCCCAAATCACATTTGTCCGTGAACGCTTTTTCGTCTCCTTCTCCAAGGAAGACCAGCTGTTCGCCACAGCTCTCTGTGAGGGTGCCCAGAATTGCGAAACCCGTTCCGTCTACTCGAGCAGCTGTTCGGATCGCTTCCAAAACGATCGAAATGGTGTTGGACGAATTCATTTCGGTCAGCGATGACCTGTGCCATTTTGAGGCACTAGTTTCTTCGTCCGACCCAGCCGTGACACTTGTCACGCAGCAGATCCAACTGGACCAAGTCAAAGCCCTGTGGGAACAGGTTCAGCAAGAGCGTCGGCGCTGTTTCCGGGCTCTGAGCCAATCAGAGTCCAGCGATTCCGACAAGCAGGCCTTACAGATGAAGTATGATCACTGCTACCGCGTCTATGAGCGGTGCGCCACTCAGCTCACCACGCGGATACAAGACGCGTCCGCGCGGAGCAGCGCTCCCGCTCCAAGTCCCGAGCCCCCAGTCAGGGGCTGTATCCTTCCGCCAGTGGACACCGAGGTTTTCACTGGCGACTACCTGAAGTGGCCCACGTTCAGGGACCTCTTCACCGCGTTGTACATTCGCAACCAGCGGTTGACAGAGGTGGAAAAACTTTACCACCTCCTCTCCAAAACTCGCGGCGAAGCGAAGGACATCGTGCGTAATTCCCCACTGACCAACGACGGTTTCGCCTCAGCTTGGAAAAACCTAACTGAGCGTTTCGAAAACAAGCGATTGTTGGTCAACAGTCAGCTCAAGGTCCTCGCCAACCTCCAGCCTATTCTTTCGGAGTGTGGCATCGCCATCAAGGAGCTCCAGAGCACAATCCAAGGGTGCTTAACGGCTGTCCAGAATGCCAAGATTGGCACCCAGGACTGGGATTGCCTTTTGGTGTTTTTCTGCGCCACCAAGCTTCCTCCAGCTACCCTTTCCTTATGGGAGCAGTCGGTAAAGGACAAGTCCGAAATTCCGCCCTGGAGCGACATGAATCAGTTCCTCTCGGATCGCTATCGCACATTGGAAGCGATAAATGATGCGACCCTGGGCCTCCGCACCCGCGTTCCAAAGCCAGCTCAAAAGGAGCCGGCTGCGAGGAGAGTCAACTCTTTCGAGACGAAGGTCCGCAACAGTCCGCAGACCTGTAATCTTTGCTCGAAGGAGAACCACCCCGTGCGCCTGTGTCCGCGTTTTCTGCAGATGTCGGTCAAGGACCGATGCAAGGTGATCAAGAATCAGAAGCTTTGCATGAATTGTTTCGCCCGAGGGCACCAACTAAACGCTTGCACAAGCCAGTACAACTGCGCTACGTGCAAGGGGCGCCACCACACTCTCCTACACCGTGGCCCCTCCCTTCCATCGGCGCCCTCAGCATCAGTTCCCCCTCCACATTGCAATCCATTACAGTCCACTTCGTCGAATGTTCAGAGCTATTTCAGCAGCAGCGTTCAGGGCGTCCTCCTCGGCACGGCTATAGTGAACGTGCTCCATTTGGGTAGCGTCTACGCCGCGCGTGCGCTCATCGACTCTGGCTCCGAGGGAACTTTCGTTTCAGAACGCCTACGCAGATCTCTTCGGCTGCCGTTCCAGAAGGTGCAGGCCCAGGTATCGGGGCTGAACGCGACCACATCTGGGCTCGCGACCAAGGTGTGCAGTGTCAAGCTGGCATCTTCCTCACAACCGAGGCGCGAAGTCGAGACGGCGGCATACGTGCTGCCGCAACTGGCAGGCGCCCTGCCATCGTTTCCCATATCCAGCGAAACCTTGAGAGATCTTCCTGACCTGCCGTTGGCAGACCCGTGTTTTTTCCGAAGCGCCACCATCGATTTGCTCATCGGCGCTGACATACTACCTGCCGTGCTGCTTGGCGGCACCCGGCCAAACGTCTGCGGCTCGCTGCTGGCACAGGAGACCATTTTCGGATGGATTCTGACCGGACCAGTAGCGGCGGCAAGGAAGACGGCCATCCGTTCCTTCACCACGCGCATTTCAGCAAGCACACAGCCATCCTTGGATCAGCTGCTCACCAAGTTCTGGGAGGTGGAGGACATCCCGGTGAGTTGCGAGAAGGAAGCGGGCGCAGTGTGCGAACAGCTTTTCGTCCAGACCACCAGCCGGCGGCCGGATGGCAGATACACGGTCTCGCTGCCTTTCAAGGACCCCCAGGACATTCAACTGGGCCATTCTAGATCCATCGCGATGGCCCAGTTCCTCAAGAACGAGGCTCGGCTGCTTAGGAACGTTTCGTTGAAGGAGCAGTATGACGCAGTCATCAACGAGTATCTCGACTTAGGGCACATGCGCCCTGTCCCTCCTCCAACGGACAACGCCAATTTTTACCTGCCCCATCACGCGGTGCTGAAGCCGGACAGCACCACGACCAAGGTCCGCGTGGTCTTCAACGCATCCTGCCCGTCGTCCAACGGGAACAGCTTAAACGACGTACTTCACACGGGGCCCGTCCTACAGGCCGACCTGACTTTACAGGTGTTGAAGTGGCGTTTTTTCCAGCACGTTTTCAGTGCCGACATCACTAAGATGTATCGGCAGATTCTGGTCGACCCCGCACATACCCGGTTCCAGAGAATCCTGTTCCGCGACCCGGCAGGTGACTTGCGGGATTTCGAGCTCCAAACAGTCACTTTCGGGGTGAACTGTGCGCCTTTCCTGGCCATCCGCGTGCTCCTGCAGCTTGCCGAAGACTCCAAGGCGCAGTATCCGCTCGCCAGCCGGGTCCTCACGGACTTCATGTATGTGGATGACGTCCTGGCCGGAGCACATACGAAGCAGGAAGCACTCTCATCCATACGAGAGATACGAGCGGCTTTCAGCGCAGCAGGTTTCCCACTGCGCAAGTGGGTCGCCAACAACAAGGACATTCTTCGCGGCATCCCACCAGAGCATCTGCTGCGCGCCGACTTCTTAGACATTGAGGATGCCAGCATGACTAAGACGCTGGGCATCCGCTGGAAGGCCACCGACGATGAGTTCCTGTTCATCGCATCCGCTTTGGAGGAAGGGTCCTCATTCACCAAACGGGAGGTCCTGGCCCAGATTTCCAGGCTGTTCGATCCCGCCGGATGGCTGGCGCCAATTATTGTCCGTTCCAAGATTTTTATGCAAGAAATCTGGCTCAGCGGAATCGGATGGGATGATCCGCTCCCCTCCGAGCTGCAGCAGAGGTGGAACGAGTTCCTGCGGAGTTATCCCACGCTAGACCGGATCCGGATCCCACGGTGGATTCATTTTCGCCCACAAGGTACGTTTCAATACCACGGTTTTTGTGACGCATCGCAGCAGGCATACGGGGCGGCCATCTACTTGCGCGTCGAGACGCACAGGCAAGTGCAGGTCCATCTCCTGGTATCCAAGACCAGGGTGGCGCCAGTCAAGACGGTGTCACTGCCGCGCTTGGAACTGTGCGGTGCCGTCCTCCTAGCGGACATGTGTGCAGCTATCCTGCCCCACCTTCCACTCAGC